ACTGACTGTGCGTGTAGAAATTTTTGAAATGGTGTACCTTTGGCTATGTATATTTCCACCAAAAAAAAAAAAAAGGTTGAGAAGATAGAGGGTTGACATGTTGTGGGGTTGTTAACCAGTGTCATAAAACAATACGTGTACTACTGTTTCATGAGAAACTATTTGTTCTGTAAGCCTTCACCTGAGGTACAATGAAAAAAAAGAAGAGCATGTGTAAGGCATGGCATGTTTGTGGAATTCCAGAATTCTGCTGTGGCAGAGCTAGGGTGATAAGGAAGCAGAGGTAGGCAGGGGCCAAGTCATGAAGGGCTTTGGATTTTGAATGCTACACTAAGGAGTTTGGCCTGAAGCTAACAGAGATTCTCCAAAGGATTTTTTTTTTTAATTTCTGAAATTTTATTTTATTGTTGTACTTTAAGTGAAAGTTTACAATTCAAGTTAGTCTCTCATACAAAAATTTATACATACATTGTTATGTGACCCTAATCACTCTCCCTATACTGTGACAGCACCTTCCTCCTTTCTACGCAGGATTTCCCATGTCCATTCAACCAGCTCCTGACCCTCTCTGCCTTCTCATCTTACCTCCAGACAGGAGCTGCCTATTTAGTCTCATGTATCTACTTCAGCTAAGAAGCACACTCTTCACAAGTATTTTATGTCCCACAGTCCAGTCTAATCTTTGTCTGAAGAGTTGGCCTTGGGAATGATTTTAGTGCTAGCTTAACAGAGAGTCTTGGGGCCATGCTTTCTGGGGTTCCTCCAGTCTCAGTCAGACCATTAAGTCTGATCTTTTTGCTAGAATTTGAGTTCTGCACCCCACTTTTCTCCTGCTCCATCAGGGACTCTGTTGTGTTCCCTGTCACGGCAGTTATTGATGTAGCCAGGCACCATCCAGTTCTTCTGGACTCCAAAGGATTTTTAACAGTAAAGAGGCATGACCACATTTGGATATTGGAAAGGTCACTCTGCCCATCGAGTGTAGGAAGGACAGGTAAAGCCAGAAGAAGTGAGACAAGCTGAAAGGACTGCAGGATTTTAAGAGAGAAATGATGACAAGAACCAAGACAGCAGCCATGTGAATGGGGAGGAGGTGATAGGTAGAGGGATACTAAGGATGCCCAGTCTGCAGGACTTAGTGATGGTCAAGGAAGATGAGGAGAGTGCGGACATCTAGGATGACATCCAGGCTCTGTTTCAACATCCAGCTTCTTGGCTGTGCCAATGTCCAAATGAGGGGAAACAGGAGGAAGAACACGCTTGCGGGAAAGGACAGTAACAAAGTATAGGCTGGTTTTGGATGTGTTGGATTTGAGATGCCAGTGCTGTAAATGTAGATAAAATTAAGAAGGGAACATGTTCCAGTACGAAGAAAATAAGGCTGAAGGAAAAGTACCCTGGAAACCTTTCTGAGCACACATGAATTCCCTGGGTAATTAAGAAATACACGTGTACTGGGTGTGATTCCACTTCAATCACTACGTCATATAAAATGTAAAATGTCCTTGGAGTCTTACCTTGAATCAGATCTTTAGCCTCTTGGGACACATTCTTCCAAGCTTCTCCTTCAAAGGAGAAATCTCCCTTTTTAATTTTCTTCATGATTTCTACTGCGCTGGTACATGTCACACTTTTGTCATGAGACTGGAATGGGACCTGGCCTGACAGCATTGTGTACTGTCAGGAAAAAGAGTCACAACCAGAATGACTGCCAACTTCCAGAGTCACTCTAATAATCTTATTACAAATTTAGCTGGTATAATTTACCAAATGTTACAACCAGGATTATTGAGTTTAACAGATTATTTGACTTCTATTAATGAAGCAATCAACACATTTTAAAAACCAAACATAAACAAAGTGGCACAGCTGATTATGATATCAAGGTTTAAGAATATTTTTATAGCTATATGCGGAGCAAGAAGAACAAAAAAGATAATCTAGCTGCTTCAGAAAAAAATGACATAATATTAACAGAAAATTGAAAGGCAGTAAAACCCCTTACTAACAATTTTTTCTATCCGATTCCATACATCTTCTCCCCAGGACACATAACCATGGTTAAACACTCTAAAATTTTTACTTTATTTAAGCCTTCTTAATCTGTTTGTCATTATCCTCATTTTTATTTTATTTTTCTCAGAAGCCTGTGAGTGACATAATATAATCACCAGTCTACAGACCAGAAAACTGAGTATCAGTTCAAGTTAGTAACATGCCCAATATCCAGCCAGAAAGAGGTACTTACTAGTGGTGGTGCTGGTAGTAATAAAGAGCTAATATTTATCAACAGCTTACTTTGTGCTAGCTGTTTAAGCACTTTATGTATATTAATTGATTTAATCCTCCAAACAACCCCAGGAGGTAGGTACTATTATTACTTCCATTCTCCCAGAAAGAAACTTGGGACACAGAAAGGCTTGTTAATTGCTGCCTAAGCCTGGTGGTATAGTGGTCAAGTGCTATGGCTGCTAACCAAAAGGTCAGCAGTTCAAATCCACCAGGTGCTCCTTGGAAACTCTATGGGGCAGTTCTACTCTGTCCTACAGGGTCACTGTGAGTTGGAATAGACGCGACGCAGCAGTTTTTTGTTTTTTTTTTTTTAAGCTGTACTGCAGTGTGAGTCCAGTCTAAACTCTGTGTGTGCGACAGGAAACCAATGCTTGTTTCACTAACCCTTAGACAGAAAGTCGTGACGTTCCAGAAATTTAACAAGATCATCTTAATATTCATTCCCTGGTCGGTATGTCCACAACCTTTCTCACTTTGTTTTTTTAGGACTCTTTGTAGATGGTGAAGTACTCTGAGTCCTCCTGATATACCCTTACGCTTCTAAGGACACAGTTCTTTTATTTTCTTCTCCCTGCTCCTCTTTTCTTTTTCAGACTGATTTTTTAAAAATAAACTTTGATTCAGGTATAACATGCACATAGAAAAGTATCAAATAATGATTTATCACAAAGTAGACACATCTGTAACCCAGTATCCATAACAAACAGAACACTCCCAACATCCACAGTTCCTCCATGCCCCGGATGCTGCCTTTTTCCTGACTTCCAATACCACGGTTTTGCCTGTTGGTGAACTTTATATGAACGGAAGCTTACAGCATCTATTGTCTGGCTTCTCTTACTCAGTCAGTGTCGTTTGTGGGGTTCATCTTTGCTGCTGCAATGGCAGTTTTCCACTCTTGTCTATTATTGTATGGCACTGCACCATTTGTCTGCACCACAGCTTATTAGTCCGTTTGATCCAGACACCTCTGAAGCACCACTTCACATCCTCTTATCTCACCTGTTTCTGGGGCCCTGCTATCAAGAGCAGAATCTACTCTGAGAAGGATCCACCTTCTTCCCGAGGCCGACAGGGCCTCACCTCATGCCTGCCTCATGGCCACTCTGCAGGTGTCTTGCGACCTGCTCTCGGGTTCTCTGGCTGCCATGGAGGTGAGGGATATCCTGGGTGCCTTTTGCACCCACACATACATAAGCCAGGAGTGCAGGGGAACTGACTCTGGGCAAACCTCTTATAAAGGGAGCTAGGAGTCAGTGGCTAACTTCTTTCCCCTGATTCCCTCAGGCTAACCTGAGACTAGGAGGCCACACAAGCTGGTGGAAGATGGTCCTAGAGGATCTGGCAATCAGTGTACTTGGTAACTAGCTGGCCTGCTCAGTAATCCTCCCTCCATCCCTGCCTCCCTCTGCTGTTTCCCCCCCTCCTCTTTTCTCTGGTCAGACTGCAAAAGGGACCCTTCTGGATGGAAGGTGGAGTGTCAGAATAGTGAGTAATCTAACTTCAAAACCCCTTCCTTTTTTGGTCTGCTTTCTGGGCCACTGCTGACACCAACTATCTTAGCCTGGGTTCCCCAGAGTCTGAAGCAAAAGTTTATTTGCAATTACAAAATTAAGGAGCGCAATCCTTGAGAAGGGATGGAGGGAATGGGGAATGGCGTACATGCTAAGGAACTGCAGGATCTGGCTAAAATGTACCAACAGGGATCTGGGGACATGTGAGAGTGGACCTCGGGGTGTGGGTGGGGGTGGGGATGCGTAACATGAGGCCTGATGGGTAAGAAATCATTGTCATGGACTCGAAATTCAGCATTCCAGCAGGGACACCTGATGCCAATGCCAGGGGCTGCTGGGATGGCTCCTCACAGCTTGGACACAATGGCTTAGGGTAAATTAGTTGAGATGCTGGAACTTCCTTGGCATAGGATTGAGGAAGAAGTCAAAAGATTTAGAAAAGAGAGACTGTTAGAAGAGATGTACCACGTAAGACCCGAGAACTCACCACGTGCCACTGCTCTCTGGGAGGCCCAGGGCACACTCCCTTCACGGAGGCAGGAAGGGGCACCCTGGTGAGGGGAGGAATAGATCTCTCAGGAGTCCCATGATGGATGTTCACTGTGGCCAGGTGCTGGTGGAAGAGGATGTCATGGAACCAAGCTCTCCACCATCAATGAGATGATGGGATTAGGGCACAGCAGAGCCCAGCGGGCATCACTTAACTATCAGGGGCAATGCAGCAAGGCTGGGCCTTGACTTAGAGTGATCTGTGGCTATGGCTAACAGCTCATGGTGTTCACGGAGGCAAGAGAAAGGGACAGCTAACTAGTGTTGCTAGACTTGCATAATATTTCCCCTAATAAACAGAAGGGTGACATCTGCCACGGAAAAGGAAAATCAGCCTCCGACCCAGTTTCTAGATCTAAGTCAGTTCACAGACCCACCATTCTTGATAAATGGGAGGACAGGTCTCTGAAGAAAGGCCTTACAATGCTACAGCAAGTATATAAACGTTTCCCTAACCTTTCCACAAAGGAACCTGTGGCCATTTGCCAGGGTGTACTGGGGGAGGGGAAAGCCCTGGCTTAGTGAGACCTGTTCAAGGTCCAAGCACTGACACCAGGGGACCCAAAACACTCCCATGGTCCTCTAGTGGGAGTGGGACTTAATTACCCAGGTGGTAAATGGAGTTTTGGCTAAAGTCCATCTTGCAGTGGTCTAACTGGTCTGTAGACCCACCACGATGATATGATTGGGAAAGATATTCTTAGCACTGTCGCAGCCCTCACACTGATTCCCTCCCTGACTTGTGGAGTAAGAGTCATTATGGGACGCAGTGCCAAGTGGAAGCCCATGAAACTATTCCTGGCCAAGACTGTAAAACAGAAGACCTCATCTCAGATTCATGCCACAAGAGTTGAAGGATATAGAGGCAGTAGGTACCCTCCTACACTTGTCATATCCCCGTTCAATTCACCTGTTAGGCCTCTGCCAAAACCAGATGGATTGTGGTGAATGATGGAGGGCTACCACCACCCAATCAGCTGGAAGTCCCAAATGCAGCTGCCCTGCTGGATGTGGTACAAGTCAATATAGCTGCTGGCGCTGATAAGCACCTATTAATCTGGACAATGTATTCTTCTTGATTTCCATCAACAGGAAGGACCAAAGCAGGAAGTCTTTACATGGCAAGGACAGCATTCACGGTCTTGCCCAGGGCTATGTTAACTATTCTGCTCTGCATTATAATAGAGTCTGCAGGACCTTGATCATCTTGACAATCTGAAGAACACCATGCTGGTTCTCTATACTGATATCTTCATTAAATTAGACCTAGTGAGCAGGAACTGGCAGGTATCCTAGATACTCTACATGCCACATGTATGTCAGAGGGTGGGAGATAAACTGCACCCAGGTTCAGTGGACTATCATACTGGTAAAGTTTTCAGGGCTCCAGTGGTCAGGTGCATACTGAGACATTCCCCTCTAAAGACAAACACTGAGCCTGGTACCACTGAGGCAGAGGCACAGCACTTAGTGGGCCTCTTTGGATTTTGGAGGCAGCACAGGTCACACTTGATAATACTGCCCAACTCATTTACTGAGTGACTTGGAAGGCTATTGGTTTCATGTGACAAGAGTAGAGAGGGCTCTGCTGCAGATCCAAGCTGCCCTACAAGCTGTCCTGCTAGTTCGGCCAAAGGATGCAGTAGATCTGATTACATCAGACGTATCTGAAGGATAAGGATGCTGGGCTCAAGAAGTCTAACAGGAGAGCCGCAGAGCAGACTTGAAGAAAAACAGCTGTCCTTGGAGCACTGTCCTTGAGGACTGTGAGCACCTAAACAAGTGATACTAAGAGCAGTCCACCATAAGCTGGCATCAGCAGATCACTGATTCATAAATCAGGCAGGTGCAGCAATCCACTGTATGATGGGAATGGCACACTCAGAATCAACCCCAGGAGGTCCAGAAGGCAATCTGAACGGTAACTCTAGGTTGGGTGTACAGATGGTTACAGTATTATTCTCTCAAATTTTCTCTAGGTTCCAACATTTTCAAAATAAAAATCTGGGAAAAAAGTGAAAAACTACAGTCTCCAGAATAAAACGCTTGGAGAAAACATGTTTTAAATGGAATTACATGCCACTCCATGGGTATATGTCTTATTTTCTAGATAGTGTGTCAACTCTATTTTAATTCAAGTCCTGCATTTTTCAGACACGGAATGCATACCCGTGGAGTATAATGGGCAGGGATGGGGTGAGTGGGGGGGTGGGGGGTGGGGAAGAGGCATGAGACTGTGAGAAGGCGGGAATTTAAGGATTGTAATTCAAGGCACATGATACAACATGCTGCATCTTCCTGGAGTATTTACTTTTACTCAATGCGGACAATATATTTTCATATTAAAATATCCACATCCATATTTATTAGGTAAAACATGTAAAGAGCCACAAATCAATGTCATACTTACTATGGATAATTCAGGCTTTGTACCTAAATCCTCTGGAAATACGCATTCACTTAGGTGGAGAAATTTGGAATACGTTCTTTTTTGGGAGGGTAGTTTAGTGCGGTTGTTAATTTTGTTTTGTTTTTTAATCTGTAGCCATTTTATTATGTATCTCTAAAAGGCAAGGACTTTTATAAACCATTAACCACAACACCATTATCACATCTAAGAAATTAGCAATGATTCCTTAACATCATGCAATATCCGACCAATGTTCCAATTTCCCCAAGAGTGGTTATGCACCATATATATACTGTAATAATGTCTGTAAAAATCAGTTTGAATCAGAATTCAAACAGGATGCAAACAAATTGTCTCTTAAGTGTCTTTTAAACACTTCCCACACCATTTTGCCCTAAGAATTTATTTGCTGGAAAAATTGGGTTGTTTTTCCTTTAGAATTTCCTCACAGTCTGGATATTGCTGACTGAACTTCTGTGGCATCATTTAACCTGTTTTCTGTCCCCAGTTTTTCTAAAAACTCTGGCTGTTAGTTAGATCAAGAGGGAAGCACTGCTTCTAACCATGCCATTACACAGAGTTACTTCCCTAGATGTGGCATCTGTAGTTTCTAAAATACACGTCTGCAAGCCTAAGACTGCCTTGTAAAAACTTGAAGAGCGTGATGGTCATAATTGGCCTATATTTAAAGAGAGATCTCTTTCAAAATGAGTAATATTATATTACTACTAAAAATAAATGACTTTTTTATTTAGACTAACTATTTAGGACAGTGCTACTAATGAAAATGTCATCAACGTTAAGTCCTTAGAACGCTCCAACCTACAGAAGTCAGTTTTTTAAAAAAAATTTTTATTTAAAATGATATTATTCATAAATATGGAAGTTCAGTTTAAAAATTATATAAACCTTGACTTAAAGTTGCTGAAATGAAATCCATATGAAGCTTTAAAATAAAAGAAGTGCCATTCTGCAGGGACAACAGGCTTGCCCTTGGGGAGGTAGCCTGACACTGAAATAAATCCCAGATGGAATATGATTTAAGTATAACAATAAACAGAATAATTTTAGAACGAAATTTGGGAGCATATTTTTATAATCTTGGGTTGGGGGTAGGCCAGGTCCAGAAAGGAAAGAACTGACATATCTTATTACTACATTAAAACAAAACAAAACTTCTCCATTTAAACCTCTCTAAAAGCAAAAGCAAAACCCCATATAAGCAAAATTTTCGAACAAGTGACAAACCAGGAAAAACATTTATAATATCCCTGGCAAAGGATGAAAATAATGGAAACCCTGGTGGTGCAGTGGTTAAGAGCTACAGCTGTTAACCAAAAGGTCGGCAGTTTGAATCCACCAGGTGCTCCTTGGAAACTCTACGGGGCAGCTGTACTCTGTCCTATAGGGTCGCTATGAGTAAAATAATAGGACTTTAAAATTCATAAGAAAAAGAATAACAACCCTATAGGAAAATGGGCAAAGCTCACAAACAGCAATTCATGAAAGAGAGAATACAAATGTCCAAAAACATCTAACGATGTTCACCTTGAACATTCACCAAGGAAATGTATGCAAATTTTAACAGCAGTGGGATATAATTTTGGACCATCAACATAATCACTGAATAGTATCCAATGTATTTGCATATATTTGATGAAAACATGACCTGGTATAACATTCTAGAAGAAAATCTAGGTATATGTGTCAAGATAAAAGATGTGCATACCCTTCTCCTAGGGATCTATCTTAAAGAAATAATGAGACAAATGCAAACACATATATAAAAAATATTCAGTTGTGTAGTTTATAATTAGTGAAAAACAAAAAATAACAACAAAAAAAGAGCTAACTCCCCATTATTCAGAAAATGGTTAAATACCTGTACAGTATAATACCGTCTGTTTAAAAAACCCAAATACATATACGTGAGGAATAATCTGTAGGAAGATAAAAAGCATAGATACATATAGATGATGGGGAAGGGGAGGGAGTGAGCATGTGCACAAATACCATCTTAGTGTGGTTAAGACTATAAGTCTTTCTTAGATCTTTCTGTATTGTCTGAAATGTCTTCCCTAAGATCATGCATTACAAATTACATGCAGAAAAAGTAAAAGTATATTTTCAGAAAAAAATAAATAAACAAACATGTATCCTGGATTCTTCCAGATTAAATGTTCTGTTTTTGACCATGGCAGCCAGGGACATTTTGTGAAAAGCATGCTCACTATGATTTTTACCTCAATAAGTTATTATAAATATTTCTAATTTTCTCTATTAATTTGATGATTTACATTTTTAGCCAGAAACCTTCACAGAATAGTTTTTTAAAAATGTTTTTCTATTAATGAGTCACTTTACTATTTTCATGTTATACTCAGTATAATATGCACATCTTTTGAACATATACTATAGTTTCTCTTAAGAAAACAACATATAACTCTTTTATTTACATAAAATATAGCTGCCTTAAATATTGACAAAATAAACCAAAACAGAAATTCTTACATTTTCTCCAATGTAACTTTTAAGACAGGAAAATATTCTTCCATTAGGCCTTTAGTTGGCTGTACAGAAAAGAAATCAATCCACCAATTTTTTTATAGGTTTAAGGAAACCAGCATGGAGAGATAAGCACACAGGACAGCAAATAACAGCAAATAACTGACTAGGTTGAATGGCTCTGCTGAAAGGAACTCACCAGAATGACACCCAGGCTCCAGAGGTCACAGGACTCATCATAACCGCTGTGATTCAAGAGCTCGGGGGCAGCATAATGAAGGGTGAAGCATGGCGTCTTAAGAGGCTGGTTATCAGGTGGCTTTAAGTGTGCAAACCCAAAGTCAATGACTTTAATTTCCAAATTGTCGTTTTCATCAGTGAACAATAAATTCTGCAAGATACAAATACTTAAATTATGCTGCTCGTTAAAATGTCACAAAATCTGGTGATCCCATTTATGTAACATTATTTATCTGCAGACTGATATTTTGATTTACGCAGAGAAAGGTCTGATGGTGAGGATCTGGGAGGTGGATGTCTGTGTACTGTTGTTCTCTGTGTTAACTTTTTTTGTATTGCTCCAATGTTACAACGTCATAGGAAACATTTTTCAACTGCTCCATGCCTCATCTGATGTCAGACCCCTTTTTTATTTCCTAAATTTTATTTATTTTGTTGTTGAGAACATACACAGCAAAACATATCAATTCAACAGTTTTCACATACAATTTAGTGACACTGATTACATTCTTTGAGTTGTGCAACTATTCTCACTCTCCTTTTTTGAGTTGTTCCTCCTTCGTTAACACAAACTCACTGCCCTCTGAGGTTCCTAGCTAATCTTCTGAGTTGCTTGTTATCAGTTTGATCCCATATAGATAGTTCTTAAAAGAGCACAGTGCTCAAGGCAGACCTTTTTTACTAGTTAAGCTAAACTATTGTTCGGTTTTAAGACGACTTCAGGGGATAGTTTTGGTTTAAGGTTTAAAGATTCTCTCAGGGCAACAGTTTCAGCGGTTCACCCACCCTCCATGGCTCCAGAAAGTCAAGAGTCCATGAGAATTTGAAATTCTGTTCTGCATTTTCTGCTTTTAATGCCAGGCCCTTTGTCTATGCTTTTCCCTCTGCTTGAATTTGGTTTCTATTTCCCCAACCAACCTCCCTTCCAACTTGGCTCATGTACACCTACACCTTATTTAAAGATACTACTCTAAGCATCCCACCAAACTAATGTTAGATCTTCTTATATTTTCTCCTAGCACTATTTACTTTTCCTTTCTGGCACTTATCACTTTTGTTTCATTAGTTTAACACCTTCATCACCCATTAGACCCTAACTTCGTGAGGGCAGCGCTATGTTTACATTATTTATGACTGTATTCCCAAGGCCTGGCACAGAAACAGTCCTATAGTAGGTGCTTGGTAAATATTTGTTTATTAAATAAAGTAAAAAAATCATTACATAATATCTACTATAGTCTGTTAAAGAAGACATGGACATATGTACTACATTTCAGAAATATTTCCTCCAAAAGAGTTAACAATTAAACATTTTTTGACGCTTAAAGATATTACCCCTCAATTATTCAGAAAACATTATTATTTTGAATCATTCACCCACCCAAGCTTCTAGATTGCTAAGGCTTTATACTACACTTTTGTACTGACCACATGCTTAATAACTGCTAACTGTACTGATGAATGAGCAATTTTTATCTGAATTTCACCTAGAATTTAGGATTTTGTCTATGAGGAAATGAATACCACATAAATATCTACCAAAAGATACATGATCAAATCTTAAAATGCTACATCAGTGGGAAAGAGACTAAACTTTTCATTTGGGAATAATGTACTCTGCCATTTAAAAGTCAAAGTGAAAGCTATTTTATTATGAAAATGTTAATGCAAAGGTACATTTTCATTTCTCCAAATGAAGGTTTGATTTAGGACTAAAACTTATAGTAGAATGTTTTAAATAATGTGATGATTCTGCTTTACTTCAAATGATTATTTAGAAGAACAGCTTTCTCACAAATAAGAAGAATTAAGCTACATAATTGCCTTTTGGTTGGTAAAGTAGGAGCAGAAATGTAAATTTTGCTGGAGAGGCAGTTGTATCATTTGAAACTCATGAGATGACAGATGGCCAGTTATCAAAGACTAAAACATGTGAAAATGAATTCTGTACAGTCATGGGACAGATCTTTTCAATTAAAAAAATTACATGCTTCTTCCTCGTCTATCGAGAAAACATTTAAGTGGTGTGCTTTCACATTTAAAAATAGACAGCTAGTCTCCAATATACAGAGCACCACATTTTCAGTGGGCGTTAGGTAGGCGAGTGAGAACTCTGCTGGAGGAAGCAGAGGGGCAGCTATCAGAGCTGCAAGTTCATAAGACAATTCACTTTTGATTAGTTGCAAGTAATATGAACAACCATAATAGAAATTACATAGGCATAAGTTTAAATGCTTTAAAAGAATAAATCAATTATATTTAAATGCAAAGAATTCCATTTTTAAAACATCTTCTTCTAATAAGTCAAGATACTTAAATAACAGGCAAAAATGGTGCTTTAGAGAAAAGTCCTTTTGCGGTGTAGCACACAAGGAATAAACATCAAGTAAACCATCCTCTTAACTGTACTTGAAAATGTATTATAATCACATGGTAATTAAAATGAAGTTCTATTTTGGGGAGAAAATATGTATAATTTTGCATATAGTAAAGGATGATTCACTATTATCATTTTATAAATTGTTGGTTCCTGGTTTTTAATTTTCATTATTATTTGCTGGTTTTCTAAAAGGGAGAAATTTTTGCATTTTTGATACAAAAAAAGAGATCATTTTAGATTTAGAACCTTCTTTATTAACCTTTCAAAAGAAGAAAGATAAAAGAAGCTGCTACTTCTGCATGCTACACAGTTCAATACATATTAAAGTACATGTACATAGCAAAGCACATGTAAAGATGGCATAACTAATTAAACCAAGAAAATTCTTTATGTTTAAATATTTAGAATTATATGCATCCTTATTCATGAGCTAATCAATTTGATCAGAAATGTTAAAAATAAGATTTCAAAATATATCATTTTAAAAAATCCGCTAAAATGGTATATTGAGAAGGATTATTTTCTGCTACAAAAATTTCCATTACTATTTTTAGTCCACAACTGTTGCATAAAGTATTTCTTCCATAAAAGGCTCTCACAATTACAAATATAACCTCAAGATGATCAGCTGGCAAAAAAGAGACAAATTTATTTTAGACTGAAATAGAAAAAGAAAAAAGATACAAGAAACAAGATATTTGCAAGTATCTATATAGTAGGAAGCCCTAAAAGTGAAAAAACCAAAATAACAAAAAAACTTCACACATATTTCAGGAATATTTAATAATGATGCTAAGACTGGACTCTATAAGAGACAGTGTTATCTTATACCTCAGGTTTCAAATCTCTGTGCACCACACCTACATCATGCATGTGGCTTACAGCTGAGACAAGCTTCCGCATGATATAGCTGGCTTCGGTCTCACTGAAGTGTTTCTTTTTCTTAATGCGTTCAAACAGCTCTCCGCCGTTCAGAAGTTCCATTACTAAAAACGTGTGAAGCTAGAAAAAAAAAGAATAATGTGGAAGGCAATCCCGAAGAGCAGACATCTATTAACATAAACAACATTTCTCTATCAGAAAACGATTCTCTACCACCAGTAAGTTTAAATGAGCCCCTGTTAAAATAATCAAAAGCAATCCTTGTATTTTAGAGGAAAGAGCTGGAGGACGATGCGGCTGTTTTAGAATTCTATTTCGGTAATTGAAAATTTCAAGTACTGCAATGAAATCTTTATATATCTTTTCCTTGACTAATTCTTTCATTTTAGTTCCACTCCAACTCTCTGTATCAAATTTACACATCTTTCTTTTTCAAGTGTGACCTAGTGCTGACAATAATGTGAAATCGTCTGCTTTAATTAATACAGACGATTGTGACTAACTATGGGCAACTGGCCTTGGGAGGTCCATTTAATGGCAAATTTCCCTTTTAAAAAAGGTATTGTTTGATGACATTTTGAAACCTTTTGTTAGGGCTCAACAGATTAGTTTCAGGTTTCCTGTTAAATACTCATGGTAAATACCCATAATTCACTGTGATTATTATTATTATTTTTATAATTGCTTTTGATCTCAATGGCATTATCTAAGTTAGTTATTTTATAAGTTATATACTTATTATGCTTTGCATACATTTCCATAAAGAAAATAAACATAACAGCTATTGAATAGGAAAGGACTTATATCGACTCTAAAATTAACACAAATGGTTTAGAAAAAGATATCAAAACAATACTCAGATTTAAGTGCTATGCTTTACAGCACCAACGTTACTCAACAAAGTAAAATGCTTCCTTTGAACTAGCAAAAGCTGTACATGCTGGACAAATTATAAAGGGTGAACCCTTTTAATAAGAGAATTGCTCTCAGGCTACTGAAGATCGAGCTAATTTGAGTTTCTACATCAAATAAATACAAAAGGTCAGGGTTGAAGGTCTGCTACAGGCATTGGCCAGTGAGCTTTAAAAAAGTGGAGGGCAATATCTACAGTGGTTTAAAGTATAGGTTTTAGAGTCAAGGAGTTCCTGGGTGGTGTAAACGGTTTTAACACGCTCAGCTGTGAACTGAAAAGTTGGAGGTTCCAGTCCACCTAGAGGCACTTCAAAAGTAAGCCCGGGTGATCTACTTCCAAAAAATCAGCCACTGAAAACTCTGTGGAGCACAGTTCTACTCTGACACGCATGAAGTTGCCATGAGTCAGAAATGACCCAAGGGTAACTGGTTTCTTAGAGTCAAAACTGGAGTTGAATGCAAATTCTGCTACTTATGACCTTGAGGATGTTACTTTGCCTCTCTGAACTTTGGCATCCTCACCAATAAAATGTAGAGAACAATAAGAAAATGTATGTACGGTAGGCCAAATAATGGCCCCTCCAAGATATCCACATCCTAATTCCCAGACCTGTGAATGTTACCTTACATGGCAAAAGGGCCTTTGTAGATATGATTTATGGATCTTGAGATGGGAAGCGTGTCCTGGATTATCCAGGTGTGTCCTATGTAATCAGAAGGGTCTTATCAAAGGGAGGCGGGAGGATGAGAGTCAGTAGTAGGAGATGTGACTATGGAAGCCAGATGCTGGAGTGATATGTGGAAGGGTTCACAAGCCAAGAAATGCGGTGGCCTTTCGAAGCTAAAAAGGGCAAGTACGTGGATTCTCCCTTAGAGCCTCCAGAAGAAAGTAGTCCTGCTGAAACCTTGACTTTAGACCAGTAGGAATTCTGACTTCCAGATCTGTAAGAGAATAACTTTGTGCTGTTTTAAGCCATTAAATCTGGGTAACTTGCTACACCAGCAATAGGAAATTAATACGAGCATGTAAAGCTCAAATCTCGGTACCCAAAATGAACTGTACTACTGCATAGTCAAAAGCTAAAGATCTATCTTCAATCAATTTCACCCATTAGTTGAAGACTGCATGGATATGTGGATGATCTAAGCAACCGTGTCACCATTCCAAAAAAAAAAAAAAAAAAGAAAGAAAAAACAGCCCAAGGTGTATTTCAACAACTTCATATTAGAGTGATCATAATTTATACTAGAATGTACAGTATTACATCAGGAGACAATTTATATCCCAGTAACTCTTAAATATAAAAGTAGTTAATAATAATAATAAATCTAACCTGCGACACAAATAAAAAATTGGAGATGTAGTTCCTGAGACCTGACATCAGTCTGAAGGTTAGAGATCAAAGGTTGTCTTGGTATATAGCTAGGGGCACAGCTGCACAGAGCAGGATATCTAAGGTCACCCACCTATTCCTTGATTGTTAAGTGAATTTCCTCTATATTATCTTATCCAGTCTCTTCTTAAATACCTCCAGTGCATAGGGGACTCGACTCACTACCTCCACTATAGCTGAGTAGCTTGATGGGGTAGGAGATGGCAGAGGAGCAGGCAGAGCAGTCTCCCTACCCCCGAGCCCTTGCTTCAATAGGCATTCCTTTTCTGACTAAGAACCAAAGAGAAAGAGGATGATGTCATTTTTGGGTGCTCACTTTCCTGATGTGAAAACCAGACCATATTTTTATCTCCTTAAAGCAGTAGATATATATGAGTTGGAATCCACTTGACAGCAGTGGGTTTGGTTTTGTTTTCAAGGCAGTAGAACAATGGCATTAAGAGCTCGGGCTCCGAATTTATACTGCTTAGGTTCAGATCCCAGCATCACAATGTACAAGCTGGGAGACTGTTACTTCTGTGAGTTCCATTTTCTTACCTCATAGGGTTACTATGTTGTGTGCTGTCAAGCTGATTCTGACTCATAGTGACCCTACAGGACAGAGTAGAACTGTCCCATATGGTTTCCTAGGGTGTAATCTTTACGGGAACAGATCACCAGGTCTTTTCTCCTGTGGAGCAGCTGGTGGGTTTGAACTGCCAACTCTTCAGTTAGCAGCTGAGTGCTTTTAACCATTATGCCACCAGGGATCCTCAGGGTTACTACAGGGATTGAATAAGATAATACATGGAGAGTGTCTAGTATGGTACCTGGATCACCTAAGGTATGCAATAACAAATGGCAGCATTTATTGTAATCATGACGCTACTGCTGTTTCTACCTGGTTTCATCATGATAGATCATTCTTGGTCACAGTACTCTGGGACATTTCAATGTGGCAGAGAACCAGGCTGCAGCTATCCTAGGTCAAGTAGCACAATGAAGAGAGCCTAGAATTGAAGACTAGGTTCTCTCTATTAGATTTTTACCAGCTTGCCGTGTAACCTTGGACAAGTCTCATGACTCTTCTGAACCTCAATTTCTTCACTGGTAAAATCAGGGCAAACCATACCCAGGCTAGGTTTTAGCCCTTGTGCCTAGCATGTTGCCATGAGCAGGACTGTGTCATCTCATCGAGACTTGAGGGGGAAAAAGCTGTAATGGAGCATTTCTGCCATGGAAGGTGGCAGTGGGAGGGGCTGGGAAGGAGACAAGGACCTGACACAAAGGCATCCTCCCCACATCCAAAGTTTCATGCTTCTGTGCTAGGTTCCCGTGGGGGGCAGTGTGACCTGGCCTGTGGTCTGAGGAGAATTTGACACCTGGAACAAGAAGGTGAAAGATGAGTATTCTTGCCTTTCTGCTGCTTGTTGCTCTTTAGCTAGCAGGAATTAGGTCTAAGACTCTCAGTTCCATTCTAGGAAGAAAGTTGAAAGCTGAATGAATATTGATACTGGGTACTGAGAGGCATGCAGGGATTAAGCGATGGTAGGCAGCAGCTGATGTGGCAATAAGCACAGTGCTGTCAAGCGCTTGCCCCACTGTCCTTCTTCCACATCATATGGGAACCCTGTATGTGAATTAGGGCACACAGAATAAAAGTGTAATACCTGATCATGAAAAACTTCATGCAACTTCACTATATTGGGGTGTCCTTCACAGAGTTTCAGAGCTGTGATTTCTTTCTGAGTATTGGCTTCCATCCTGCAAGATGAAGTAGTTAGCCTCTACATATCTCTTCAAGTAAGTGTCTATGTCAGTATTGCCCCAAAGCTAATTCTGTTTTCATTTACAGTGCACTCAGAATATATGTGTCAAAATATCAGAATGCAGTTTCTATGAAAGTAATGAATCATTCTACCCACCAGAACAAGTAACACATTATTATGGAGAAAATTATTATATCTGAGTCAGAAAAGAGCTAGTCATACGAAGAAATGGATGTTCTACTTGCCCGACAATTTGGTAATAAGAATATACAATCATGGTGGTAATAATCAATTACAATTAAAAAAAATAAATAAATAAAACACAGAACTAGCTGGCTCTCAAAGTTACCAGGAGCTTGCTAAAAAATTTCAGAGAAAACTATTTCAAATATACAACTAACAGGCATGGCAACAGCTGCTGAAACCACTAAGCAAGTCTGATTAAACAACACTGCCACAATGAAGTTTTCTCCTAATAAACCCAAAAGCAGATCATGCCATGACTTAGGCCTAAAATGGGTTACTTTATCAGAAAACAACTATTACAGCTACGAGTATAATGGTCACCTGATGAGCCAAGTGGCTAAATTCATAGGTAAAAAGCTTTAACATATACTTTTGATTTCCTTTTAAATAAATATTTTCATTTACAAAATTCATTGACTAGCATGAATACACAAGAAAGACCACCAAAAATAGTCACACCTTTTGCTGATTATTTTGACTGCAAATGCTTGGTTACTTTTTTTGTGTATGCACTTTCGACAGATTGAAAAACTTCCTTCTCCTAATGGTTTGTCCTTCAGATCCAGATCATAGTGTTGATAGAATGGAGAGTCCTGTTAAGAAACCACATTACTTAGGAAAATATAAAATTGTATAGTCATCGAAAATTATCAATATTAGTAAATATGAATTGAATAAATTTAGAATACTCTAAAATTCATCTTTTGAATAAATTTATAATACTCCAAAATTTATCTTCTTTTGGCTCATCTGAATTTTCACCTATATCATTTATTAAACATATGAAGTTTCATATCTCTGTAAAAAGGAGCTCATGCAAATCATGTTGGTAATACTCCAGGGCAAACATTGCTATTTCCATATATTCATTTTTTAAACTGCACTTTAGTTGAATGGTTAAGTCTATTAAGTTTACCTCTACAGACCTGAGGATGTTAATTAGTGTTGGCATTTAAACACTCATGTAAACTATGTCATTAAAGGAACCACATCTGTATACCTTCATCATGGCACTCCGGGCAACATTTGTCACTCCAGGACGTTCAACTCCCATGTCAAACTGAAGCGGATCTATGATGGCTGCATTACGCTTGAAGAGAATAGAAGGGGCGACAAAAGAATAGCCCTAAAAAAGAAAAAGAAAAGTAGAGAAGAAAGACTTGACATCTCCCAGTTCAGCACAGACTAGACAGTGATGATATTCTTTTTCCCTTACATCAAGAAAAAAGAATGAAAACACTGGAATATTTGTTGAGATCAATCTAATTTAATTGTATTTGCAATTTAAAATGCAGGGTCATTTGAAATCAATAGAAAATATTTTTCAGAAGGAGATAATGCCATCTGCTGGCAGAATCAAACCAATTAAAAAATGAAAGGCAGAAAAATACTTCCTCCCCACTCCACCCCCAAAATCTGACTCATAGCTGTATTCTTTAGCACTGCTGATAAAAATTCGCTTATAAACACAGCTATCTTCTCAAAAAAGATATGGCTAAGTTATTAAATAAAATGGTCCAGTGCAACTAGTTTTCAAACTAGAAAAATAGCAAGTTTCATTACAATTAGTTTTTAATTCAGCAATTATTTGACTCTTATTTTACCTTTGCAGAATTAAATTTAAAATTGAGGTTTATAAAAGAAATAACATCTACTGGTGGAATGATGTGCTGAACCAAGAGCGGTATAATGATGGATCAGTTCAAGCTACAACATTCACTAGTTCATTCAACAAACATTTCTCTAATATCTACTATGAGCCTGGCCCTGTGCCAGACATCGGTGAAACAGAATGTGGCCAGATAAGATCATTCTACAGATACACTTAAAAGAATCAAAGAAGTGAAGGCATGATGCCATTTGATGGAATATTTTATCTTAAATGGAGATAAAATAGGGCATCCTGATAAGAAATCCTTTCCTAAAAATAAAATCCTTTCTAATTTTTTTTTTAATAGCTGGAAAGCAGTTAAGATTATATACTGAAGATAAAGAATCAGATAACACTTTATTAACTAAAGAACATTTTATATGAACACAGGTAAAATAAATAAGTACTGAATTTTCCAAAAAAGCCTGAAAAATTAAAACTTGTGGTACAAAATCAACACTTATTTAAATAAACAATAAACCATAAACAATATTTGCTATTTAGCAAATCATAAGCTTCAGTAACAATTTGCAATATCTTTGTATTTAATAATTGTGAAAAGATTAAAGAACTCTTTTCTTATATGCTGCCAAAAAACAATTTCAATAGAGGAAAAGTAATCCTTTCTTTCAAAGCACATATGGCCAATGTATGCACGCACACTCTCGGAGATTACCTGAAACAGCCTCTCAGAGCTCTGGGGCAGGGCTGCGGGAGAATAGGTGGGATCCATTTCTGTGAACTCTTCTGCAAAGTTACTCACATCTAATTCATCTCGAATGACTGGCTTAAATGGTGCGGGCACTTTTTTGGCAGCTAAATCATCCCAATTTATTTTCTAAAAGAGAGGAAAAAAAATTGGTACAAAGTAGAAATTAACAAAGTGGACTCATATTTCCTAAAAATAACAACTATAATTTAGGATTTTAATTGATTAGTAGGAAGAGCGGCTAAAAATAGGGCACACATTTCAAACCAATGATTGTTGTTAGGTGCCGTCGAGTCAGTTCCAATTCACAGAAACCCCATATTCAACAGGTCTTGCACCATCCTCACAATCATTGCTATGTCTGAGTCTACTGTTGCAGTCACTGTGTCAATCCATCTCATTGAGGATCTTCCTCTTATTTTTTTTTTTAATTGTACTTTAGGGAAAGGTTTACAGAACAAATAGTTTCTCATTAAACAGTCAGCAGACATATTGTTTTGTGACACTGTTTAACAACCCCATTGCATGTCAACCCTCTCACTTCTTGACTTTTTTTTTTTTTTTT